GCTAAATCTACTGGGAGAGCTCGGAAATTCAAGACCCTTGGGTGCTGCCATGGAGTTACATTAGAAGGGCCCATCCAAGAAGGCTCAAGGTCATTGGCCACAGATAAAAATGACGTCAAATCACGTTATATCCACAGTAGTTTCCATTGGATGATCATGTCAACGTCATACTTTCAAAATCTTAGCTAGCAGTCATCATGAATCAAGTCGACAATCTACTGGCAAATCATTATTCCTTGTCATATGAAGAGAAATTATGAAGAGAAATTATAGATAAAACGTATAGATGCTCGTCGGCCATTAGACATAAACATTACACAACAAGTTGGAAATTGCAAATTCAACAATGAGTGGTTTGGAAGGAATCAGTGGCATTGCAAAGCAATCACTAGCCTGCTATTCAGTGGAATGGATGTGTGGTCCAAGTCCGGGTTTAAGGGTCTCTTGTCCAAGCTTAACATTGGCCATGCTCTCAATCCAGCTTGACTTCTGCCGCTTTCAAAACTGGAAACTCGGAAATCTCAGACTTCAGTGAGTTCAAGACAACTGGGAACTCTGGGGGGGGGGAAAAAACGAATTCCGACTGGGAAAATACGTTTTGAATGGTCATCCAACTTGGAATTCCAAGTCGGGAACTCAGGCCTCTTTCTAGAGCTCCGACCTGAAGATCACTAATGATAATGACTTGACTGTGTTTTTTTCAGAGTTCCCAGTTGTCTTGAAAGCACCATAAATCCAGAGAATGCCAGACTTTGATGACAAAATTTGCCCACGAAGGACCGCCGCGCCACCTTCCTGTTCAAGTGAGCACAGCACAACAAGGTGATTCCAAAAATGTCTTGTATGCTGCTGCATAAATGATGTAATATGCCAGGGAGATATGTATGCTGTAGCTAAGAAAGTAATACTAAGTGTATGTTGTGTAGTAAGCTGTTAGTAACCCATGTGCCTCACTCTAATAATTTGGTCCCTTTCCACCCTCATAACGTAGTCTACTGTTCTGACTTGGTGGTGCACATGTAGCCTATAGCCTGTTTTAGAGAAATGTCATTGTCTGCTTACATGCCCCCTTTATTTATCCTAGGGTTCTGACTTGATGTACTGTAAGAACGGCCCATGTTCTGAATTCTGTCGCTGTACATTTCAAAAGTGCTGAAGAAATAGTTATGACTACGTCCGTCCCAGCTCGCTCATTAATGTCTTAATCAAAATTACGGATTGCCTCTTATCCGCTCGTCCCCTTATGCCATAGTTTGTACATCTCAATTGTCAGTAGAAACCACATTTGTTTAAGCAAGTCAGCCATATCAGCTATGTTTTTTTTTAAGGCAGTAAATGAGGCTGATAGCAAGGTGTAGCAGTGGTAAGGATTCACTACATGGTGCTGAAAAGAAATATCTGCTGTTGGGACAGCTTTATGTAGGCCCTAACAGTTTGTGGGCACCGTTAGTCACCGTTATAGTCCAGACAAGCTAAACACCTTCGCCCGCTTTGAGGATAACACAGTGCCACTGACGAGGCCCACTACCAAGGACTGTGGCCTCTCCTTCTCCGTGGCTGACGTGATTAAGACATTTAAGCATGTTAACCCCCGCAAGGCTGCCGGCCGAGACAGCATCCCTAGCCGCGTCCTCAGAGCATGCGCAGACCAGCTGGCTTGTGTGTTTATGGACATATTCAATCTCTCCCTTTCCCAGTCTGCTGTTCCCACATGCTTCAAGATGGCCACCATTGTTCCTGTACCCAAGAAAGCAAAGGTACAGTTGAAGTCGGAAGTTTACATACACTTAGGTTGGAGTCATTAAAACTTGTTTTTCAACCACTCCACAAATGTCTTGTTAACAAACTATAGTTTTGGCAAGTCGGTTAGGACATCTACTTTCTGCATGACACAAGTAATTTTTCCAATAATTGTTTACAGACAGATGATTTCACTTATAATTCACTATCACAATTCCAGTGGGTCAGAAGTTTACATACACTAAGTTGACTGTGCTTTAAACAGCTTGGAAAATTCCAGAAAATGATGTCATGGCTTTAGAATATTCTGATAGGCTAATTGACATCATTTGAGTCAATTGGAGGTGTACTGTTCGCTGCTCTGGCACCCCAATGGTGGAACAAGCTCCCTCACGACGCCAGGACAGCGGAGTCACTCACCACCTTCCGGAGACATTTGAAACCCCACCTCTTTAAGGAATACCTGGGATAGGCTAAAGTATTCCTTCTAACCCCCCCCCCAAATTGTAAAGTGGTTATCCCACTGGCTATAGGGTGAACGCACCAATTTGTGAGTCGCTCTGGCTAAGAGCGTCTGCTAAATGACGTTAATGTGCCCTTGAGCAAGGCACTTAACCCTAATTGCTCCTGTAAGTCGCTCTGGTTAAGAGCGTCTGCTAAATGACTAAAATGTAATGTAAATGTACCTGTGGATGTATTTCAAGGCCTACCTTCAAACTCAGTGCCTCTTTGCTTGACATCATGGGAAAACCAAAAGAAGTCTGGTTCATCCTTGGGAGCAATTTCCAAACGCCTGAAGGGACCACGTTCATCTGTACAAACAATAGTACGCAAGTATAAACACCATGGGACCACGCAGCCGTCATACCACTCAGGAAGGAGACGCGTTCTGTCTCCTAGAGATAAACGTACTTTGGTGCGAAAAGTGCAAATCAATCCCAGAACAACAGCAAAGGACCTTGTGAAGATGCTGGAGGAAACAGGTACAAAAGTATCTATATCCACAGTAAAACAAGTCCTAAATCGACATAACCTGAAAGGCCGCTCAGCAAGGAAGAAGCCACTGCTCCAAAACAGCCATAAAAAAGCCAGACTACGGTTTGCAACTGCACATGGGGACAAATATTGCACTTTTTGGAGAAATGTCTTCTGGTCTGATGAAACAAAAATAGAACTGTTTGGCCATAATGACCATCGTTATGTTTGGAGGAAAAAGGGGGTAGCTTGCAAGCCGAAGAACACAATCCCAACCGTGAAGCACGGGGGTGGCAGCATCATGCTGTGGGGGTGCTTTGCTGCAGGAGGGACTGGTGCACTTCACAAAATAGATGGCATCATGAGGAAGGAAAATTATGTGGATATATTGAAGCAACATCTCAAGACATCAGTCAGGAAGTTAAAGCTTGGTCGCAAATGGGTCTTCCAAATGGACAATGACCCCAAGCATACTTCCAAAGTTGTGGCAAAATGGCTTAAGGACAACAAAGTCAAGGTATTGGAGTGGCCATCACAAAGCCCTGACCTCAATCCTGTAGAAAATGTGTGGGCAGAACTGAAAAAGCATGTGCGAGCAAGGAGGCCTACAAACCTGACTCAGTTACACCAGCTCTGTCAAAGGAGATGATCGTGGACTTCAGGAAACAGCAGAGGGTGCCCCCCCTATCCACATCGACGAGACCGCAGTGGAGAAGGTGGAAAGCTTCTTGGAGTACACATCACCGACAAACTGAAATGGTTCACCCAAGCAGACAGTGTGGTGAAGAAGGCGCAACAGAGCCTCTTCAACCTCAGGAGGCTGAAGAAATTTGGCTTGGCACCTAAAACCCTCACAAACCTTTACAGATGCACAATATAGAGCATCCTGTCAGGCTGTATCACCGCCTGGTACGGCAACTGCACCGCCCACAACGGCAGGGCTCTCCAGAGGGTTGTGCGGTCTGCCGAACGGATTACCGGGGGCAAACTACCCTCCCTCCAAGACACATACAGCACCCGATGTCACAGGAAGGCCAAAAAGATCATCAAGGACATCAACCACCCGAGCCACTGCCTGTTCACCCCGCTATCATCCAGAAGGCGAGGTCAGTACAGGTGCATCAAAGCTGGGACCGAGAGACTGAAAAACAGCTTCTATCTCAAGGCCATCAGACTGTTAAATAGCCATCACTAGCACATTAGAGGCTGCTGCTGCATATTGAAATCACTGGCCACTTTAAGAAATGGAACACTAGTCACTTTAATAATGTTTACATATCTTGCACTACTCATCTCATATGTATATACTGCATTCTATTCTATAATATTCTACTGTATCTTAGTCCATGCCGCTCTGTCATTGCTTGTCCATATATGTATATATTCTTAATTCCATTCCTTACTAGTTTTGTGTGTATTGGGTATATGTTGTGAAATTGTTAGATATTACTGCACTGTCAGAGCTAGAAGCACAAGGATTTCGCTACACCCGCTATAACATCTGCTAAACACGTGTACGTGACCAATACAATTTGATTTGATTAATGTATTGTTCAGTATTGTGATGTGTAGTTGCTTTGCTGGCCTGCATCTAAAAAAAACATTTTGAGTTTGCCCCACCAAGATTTATATGCTAAAATCGGCACTGAGTAGGAGGCGCCCTATCCCAGGGACATTACCCTGTATAGGGTGCAGTCTTTCGGATGGGACGTTAAACAAGTGTCCTGACACTCTGTGGTCACTAAAGATCCCATGGCACTTATCGTAGAGGCCAGAGTGTGACTACCTGCCAACGTGGCTGGCGAATTGGACATTCTGACCTGCCAACGTGGCTGGTACCTTAGTAGCCCCCCCACTGGTACCTTAGTAGACCCCACCACTGGTACCTTAGTAGACCCCACCACTGGTACCTTAGTAGACCCCACCACTGGTACCTTAGTAGACCCCACCACTGGTACCTTAGTAGACCCCACCACTGGTACCTTAGTAGACCCCCCACTGGTACCTTAGTAGACCCACCCCCACTGGTACCTTAGTAGACCCACCCCACTGGTACCTTAGTAGACCCCCCCACTGGTACCTTAGTAGACCCACCCCACTGGTACCTTAGTAGACCCCCCACTGGTACCTTAGTAGACCCCCCCCACTGGTACCTTAGTAGACCCCCCCACTGGTACCTTAGTAGACCCCCCACTGGTACCTTAGTAGACCCCCCCACTGGTCGTTTGTAACAGCAGTTTAATGGGAATGCCAGAACTATCAGCTACATATTAGTACTACTTACTCTGATCGTCGTCGAGCCTCCATGCCGTCCGGTAGAAACAGCTTGATTGTAGAAACTATGCAGCCATGAGTAACTGGAACACACGTGTTATCATGTTATTGTCAAACACCACCACAATCCTATATAAACAATGACCAACCATAAAGATCCACTGACGAGGCTCCAAAAAGGGTCATTGTTAGATGACATATTAAAAAGACAACTAAGAGAGTTTGAAGATAAAATAAAATGTAAAACTAGCATTTCTCCCAGTCTCTAAAGCAGGGTAAAGTTAAACATCTGTATAATACAGGTAGACCAATACATGGTAAGTCCAGTATAATACAGGTAGACCAATACATGGTAAGTCCAGTATAATACAGGTTGACCAATACATGGTAAGTCCAGTATGATACAGGTAGACCAATACATGGTAAGTCCAGTATAATACAGGTAGACCAATACATGGTAAGTCCAGTATAATACAGGTAGACCAATACATGGTAAGTCCAGTATAATACAGGTAGACCAATACATGGTAAGTCCAGTATAATACAGGTAGACCAATACATGGTAAGTCCAGTATAATACAGGTAGACCAATACACGTTAGGTCCAGTATAATACAGGTAGACCAATACATGGTAAGTCCAGTATAATACAGGTAGACCAATACATGGTAAGTCCAGTTGTATCATAATGCAGTAAAGTGTCCCAGCCAGAGCCCGGACTTGAACCCGATCGAACATCTCTGGAGACACCTGAAAATAGCTGTGCAGCGACGCTCCCCATCCAACCTGACAGAGCTTGAGAGGATCTGCAGAGAAGAATGGGAGAAACTCCCCAAATACAGGTGTGCCAAGCTTGTAGCGTCATACCCAAGAAGACTTGAGGCTGTAATCGCTGCCAAAGGTGCTTCAACAAAATACTGAGTAAAGGGTTGGAATACTTATGTAAATGTGTTTATTTTTATTTTTATGTTTAATACATTTGCAAAAATTGTAAAAGCCTGCTTTTGCTTTGTCATTATGGGGTATTGTGTGTAGATTAAATGAGGGAAAAAACAATTTAATACATTTTAGAATAAGACTAACGTAACAAAAATGTGGAGAAAGTGAAGGGTCTGAATACTTTCCGAACGCACTGTATGTCGTCTTACTTTTGAACTCTGCATTGTTGGGAAAGGGCTCGTCTGTAAGCATTTCACGGTAAGGTCTACACCTGCTGTATTGAAATTCCCACTTGGTTTACGAACGCACCACGACACTGCCTCCTTCAGTGGCAGATGCACACTTGTGACTCAAAGGGGGCGTGTCTGTAGCGCGGAAAATGTGATGTCACTGTTACAGGGTGCATTGGCCAATTCATTGAAAACCTTTGCATTGGCTTGCTATTATTAGAGTGGGTACTACCCGTTGGCTGAAATGGGTGCAAGAGGGATGTTCGTAACGTTGCTCGAGCACTTTCACGAGGTGCTGAAACCCCCTATTCTTCTCAACCACGAATATCTGCGGCTATAAATCATAGACTGTAAAAAATATAAACATAACCTAACGATCGCTCTTGTAATGTCTTTGTCCAAGGGCTGCTTGAATGCAGAGGGGAGACCATGTTTTTGTGCTACCGTCTTGCTCCAGAATAATGGGGTGAGGTCAGTGTAAACCTGTCAGATATTTGAGGTGTTGGCAGCTGCATAGGCTATTGCCGTCAACATACTTTTAACTTTTTATCCACAACTCTGTCCATCGCAGCTTTAATCTACTGGGAATACAAAATGTTCCTAAACTGGACATTTAAACAGGATGGAGGACCCTCCCAATTCCGGTTGATCAACCCCATCGTACAGAACTAGTTCTCAGTTGCTCCTCACAAAAAGGACCATTTGAAATGCGGCAATTAAGATTTGAATGTTAATTACAACATGTGGCTGTATTAGTGGAAATAGGCCTGAATAGTTTTTTCAGCTCAGATTTACTCAAGAGGCATAAGCCTACAATGCAGCATAGGCAAAGTCTACAGGCCTAGTGTTTTCTATTTGGTAAATATTGTTTTATGTATTTACACGGGTTCACAGTGCGGACCGAACCGAGGTCCCCACACTGAACAGTTCAGTACCAATACATGTACCGTTACACCCCTATGGGCTAATTTCTACCATATTTGTTTAACCAGTTATTCCCTTTCAAATCAGTGAAGGGATGTGACCAAGTGCACACTTTGGGGGGGGGGGATAATAGCCTTTATGTTGTGTAGCCCTCTACGTGTACCATAGCGATGGACGTACTTCCCAGAATGCCCCATTTAGTACAATTGAGGGCTTTCAGACTATACCACAGGCTAGACCTCAGAGTAACCTCCGGTAACCGTTAGATACAAATGTAATAAACAGAGGTTTTCTTCCCAATAATGTGCTTCTCTCACTTGAACCGTTTTAAGATAGTGAATATTATGACCCCATCACTGAAAGAGAAGACTCTCAGGAACACGCGTGTGTCTTCTGTTTCCCTCTACACACGCCTCATTAGAACAGAGTGGACAAGACCAGGCACTAAAATCAAACTGGAGGGGGGGGGGGGGGGGAGACAGAACATCAATGAGGATGTTCTTTTCTCCACAGAAGATCATACAAAATTATTGCCTGATTATCTTCTGACCTTCCCAATAGTTTTGTTGCGTTTTAGTCACTTCAAACCAGGGGTTGGAACTGGTTCAAGGAACAAAGCCCTCGCTGTCACTCAGAAATGTATTCCAGTGTCTGCCAGCTGAACATCTTTACCAGTGTGTGTAGGCTACCTGCCCCTCCCCCCGAAGCACGCATAGTCTGCTGTAGCTACTGACGCTAAGTCTGCTGTAGCTACTGGCGCTAAGTCTGCTGTAGCTACTGGCGCTAAGTCTGCTGTAGCTACTGGCGCTAAGTCTGCTGTAGCTACTGGCGCTAAGTCTGCTGTAGCTACTGGCGCTAAGTCTGCTGTAGCTACTGACGCTAAGTCTGCTGTAGCTACTGACGCTAAGTCTGCTGTAGCTACTGACGCTAAGTCTGCTGTAGCTACTGGCGCTAAGTCTGCTGTAGCTACTGGCGCTAAGTCTGCTGTAGCTACTGGCGCTAAGTCTGCTGTAGCTACTGACGCTAAGTCTGCTGTAGCTACTGGCGCTAAGTCTGCTGTAGCTACTGGCGCTAAGTCTGCTGTAGCTACTGACGCTAAGTCTGCTGTAGCTACTGGCGCTAAGTCTGCTGTAGCTACTGGCGTTAAAGGCGTGATTCAGAAATGAGGGAGAGAGATTTTTTAAATTAGACAACAATGGATTCACTTTTTCAATGCAAGTGTTATCAAGTTTCACATTGGATTTATTAACTACAAAAAGGTAAGACGTGTTTTTATTTAAATTCTGGTGGCCGCTCTGCACACACAAGCTTGTTAGCTAGCTAGCTAGCTTGTTAGCTAGCTCTGGTCCAGCTCTCAAACTGCAGGCGGTATTATGTGTAATGTAACGGAACTGAGAGTCATGACCAAGGGCTAGCTCTGGTCCAACGTTAGCTAAGCCAACTCAATTAAGTTCAAGGACATTCAAAGTTCCTTCACAGAAGCCTCTCCTCCGTAGGTATAATTCTGATAATGCATGTCATAACAACAAGATGCCCAGCGCCTCATGCCCAGCGCTCTCCTCACCCGCCAAATGTCAGTCGCATATTACACTACCCAATGGATACATAGCAAGCTGCTCTACCCGATGGTGAATTTAATGTAGTGCAAAATGTTTTTTTTTTTAAAAGTAGATTTCAGAGGTTTAAAAATGAACGTTTTATGGGTTCGAACAGGTTCCGAACTTTATTTTGCTGGTCGGAACAGTGGAACGGAACAAAAAAAAAGATATGGGGTCTTTCCAACTCTGATGTGTACTAACCATACACATTGTTGTGTACCATATACCTTACATTTACATTTACATTTTAGTCATTTAGCAGACGCTCTTATCCAGAGCGACTTACAGTTAGTGAATACATATATTTTTATACTGGCCCCCCGTGGGAAACGAACCCACAACCCTGGCGTTACAAACGCCATGCTCTATCAACTGAGCTACTTCCCTGCCGGCCATTCCCTCCCCTACCCTGGACGCCGCTGGGCCAATTGTGCGCCGCCCATGAGTCTCCCGGTCGCGGCCGGCTGCGACAGAGCCTGGATTCGAACCAGGATCTCTAGTGGCACAGTTAGCACTGCGATGCAGTGCCTTAGACCACTGCGCCACTCAGGAGTACGCATCATTGTTGTGTACCATATACCTGACATCATTGTTGTGTGTACCTTTGCGCGTGTTCTCTGTGACGTCGACCCCGAACTGGATGCTGTCACCAGAGAGGACCTCACAGGGGGGGCTTTCCTCGGACCCCCGGCTCAGACGCTGGCTGTTGATGAACGTCCCGTTACTGCTCTTAGTGTCCTGGAGGTAGAACTGCAGGAAACACAGAAATACACCGTTACTCTACGTCAGTCAACACCATAGTAACCCCAGCTAAATACACCGGTACTCTACGTGAGTCAACGCCATAGTAACCCCAGCTAAATACACCGGTACTCTACGTCAGTCAACACCATAGTAACCCCAGCTAAATACACCGTTACTCGACGTGAGTCAACGCCATAGTAACCCCAGCTAAATACACCGGTACTCTACGTCAGTCAACACCATAGTAACCCCAGCTAAATACACCGTTACTCGACGTGAGTCAACGCCATAGTAACCCCAGCTAAATACACCGGTACTCGACGTGAGTCAACGCCATAGTAACCCCAGCTAAATACACCGTTACTCGACGTGAGTCAACGCCATAGTAACCCCAGCTAAATACACCGGTACTCTATGGTAGTCAATACAGGAAAATACAACAGGGTATATAATAGGGGCGTAACGGAGCACATATTCGTACCAAACCATTCAGTACAGGGAACCCCAATGAATACAAAATATATACACTACCAGTCAAAAGTTTAGACACCTACTCATTCGACGGTTTTTCTTTATTTTTACTATTTTCTACATTGTAGCATAATAGTGAAGACATCAAAACTATGAAATTAAACATGGAATCATCTAGTAGCCAAAAAAGTGTTAAACAAATCAAAATATATTTTAGATTTGAGATTCTTCAAAGTAGCCACCCTTTGCCTTGATGACAGCTTTGCACACTCTTGGCATTCTCTCAGCTTCCAGGAGAACAGATGATGTAGACTAAACCAACAGGCTGTTCACACAGCTTCCAGGAGAACAGATGATGTAGACTAAACCAACAGGCTGTTCACACAGCTTCCAGGAGAACAGATGATGTAGACTAAACCAACAGGCTGTTCACACAGCTTCCAGGAGAACAGATGATGTAGACTAAACCAACAGGCTGTTCACACAGCTTCCAGGAGAACAGATGATGTAGACTAAACCAACAGGCTGTTCACACAGCTTCCAGGAGAACAGATGTAGACTAAACCAACAGGCTGTTCACACAGCTTCCAGGAGAACAGATGTAGACTAAACCAACAGCCTGTTCACACAGCTTCCAGGAGAACAGATGATGTAGACTAAACCAACAGCCTGTTCACACAGCTTCCAGGAGAACAGATGATGTAGACTAAACCAACAGGCTGTTCACACAGCTTCCAGGAGAACAGATGATGTAGACTAAACCAACAGGCTGTTCACACAGCTTCCAGGAGAACAGGGTCCTGTTCAATAGGCACCAAACCGAACAACACTGAGGCAACAAGGGATTAACTGGATTTGTCCAATAAGAAATGTTAATTTTTATTTTCTGCTGCAAAACATCTGAAAACATTTTATGTTATGTGCCCCAATGAACACAGCCCGGCCTGCTGTGGATTTAACACCATCCTCCTGACCTCCGAGGCCTCACTTCTACAAACAGCCTTCGAAACATCCATCAAAACACTGCCTAGATCACACATCTGCAATTATTCCATCAGGCAGTACACCTCCCTCCCACCCACCCACCCACCTCCGCAGTTCTCCCAATGAGCCACAGTCCCCTCCTCTCCTTCACCTCTCCTTCCTCCACCTCGTCTTCCTCCTCTCCCCCCCCCCTCCAGCTCCTCCTCTCCCCGCCCACCCCGCCCACCCCCTCTAACTCCTCCTCTCACCCCCTCCCCCTCCAGCTCCTCCTCTCCTAGCCAATCAGGATAGAAAATAAAACAGAGTAGCAGCAGAGTATGTGTGTGTGTGTGTGTGTGTCTGTGTGTGTGTGTGTGTGTGTGTGTGTGTGTGTGTGGCATCAATATGTGTATGTCGTGTGTGTGTGTGTGTGTGTGTGTGTGGCATCAAAATGTGTATGTTGTCTGTGTGTGTGGCATCAATATGTGTATGTCGTGTGTGTGTGTGTGTGTGTGTGTGTGTGTGTGTGTGTGTGTGTGTGTGTGTGTGTGTGAGTGTGGCATCAATATGTGTATGTTGTGTGTGTGTGTGTGAGTGTATGTCGTGTGAGTGTTGAAGTGTCAGTGTGGTATGTGTGAGTGTGCAGGTAGAGTCCAGTGAGGGTGCAGAGAGTCAGTGCAGATTTTTTAATTTTTTTAAAGGGGGTCAAAGCAAATAGTCCGGGTGGCCATTTTATTAACTGTTCCGCAGTCTTATGGCTTGGGGGTAGAAGCTGTTCAGGAGCATTTTGGTCCTAGATTTTGCGCTCCGGTACCGCTTGCCGTGTTGTAGCAGAGAGAACAGTCGATGACTTGGGTGGCCGGAGTCTGACATTTTTCTTCGGCCTTCCTCTGACACCGCCTGGTATAGAGGTCCTGGATGGCAGGGAGCTCAGCCCCAGTGATGTACCTGGACGTATGCACTACCCAATGTAGAGCCTTACGATCGGGATGCCAAGCAGTTGCCATACCAAGCGGTGATGCAGCCAACTTGATAAAGCTGCAGCAAGATGTATTTTCAAATGCAACATCTCATGTCCAGAGATGGGTTTGGGCTTCCAGAATAGCACCCTCTGACAACTGTTTATTCAAGGAACTATAGAGAAGTCCTTTCTTCTTCCATCAGAGACCAGAGAAAGACGGCACCACAGGGCTGCAGTCAACCTCTAGAAAAGAACCTTACATGACTGCCACTGGTAGTGCTGCTCCTTCTGGTCCCCATGGTTACTGAAACGACCTCTGTCTCCACGGAAACAACTACCTGTTGCCAGTGAACAACAAGCTAGACATGTCTGTCTGCTTTCCACCCAACAGAGACTTAGACAGTACACTGCACAAGGGGCAAGGACACACACACAAACACGTCAGATTGCCTCACTGCACGACTCAACACAGCGCCAGAGAAGAGCTCAAATCAGAAGGAGTGGGGTCTGTCGCTCTCATAGAAGAATTTGTATGTGTAAAGTAATGACGAAAGTGTTTCCACCCCCCCGATACTGTATAAATATGTAAACTGTGTTAGTGTTATAAAGACAATAAAACCACTAAACAGGGAAGATGGGTAGAAACTGTTGGAGACGAACATTCCATAGTAAGGGGGGGGACCTAGAAACTGCTGAAAGAAACATTCTATACTGTGGAAAGTCACAGGCCGCCTAAAGGTGGGCGGAGCAAAGTTCCTTTGTGTGGACGCATATAAAAAGCCTGTGTGTGTTTTTAGCGCCAGAGATCTCATGAATAAAAAGACTGACCTATTGCAGAACGGGACTTTGTTTAATTCATTATTAAACCAGAGCCTTACACCCTCTGGCAATTATTCAAAGCTTGAGTGATAGTTGAGTTCAACCATTGAGATAACAACATTCTCGTGACAGGGTCTCCGTAGGTTATCAGAGGGAGTGGGTCTGTGGGTCTCCGTAGGTTATCAGAGGGAGTGGGTCTGTGGGTCTCCGTAGGTTATCAGAGGGAGTGGGTCTGTGGGTCTCCGTAGGTTATCAGAGGGAGTGGGTCTGTGGGTCTCCGTAGGTTATCAGAGGGAGTGGGTCTGTGGGTCTCTGTAGGTTATCAGAGGGAGTGGGTCTGTGGGTCTCTGTAGGTTATCAGAGGGAGTGGGTCTGTGGGTCTCTGTAGGTTATCAGAGGGAGTGGGTCTGTGGGTCTCTGTAGGTTATCAGAGGGTGTGGGTCTGTGGGTCTCCGTAGGTTATCAGAGGGAGTGGGTCTGTGGGTCTCCGTAGGTTATCAGAGGGAGTGGGTCTGTGGGTCCTCGTAGGTTATCAAGGAGGCTTGTCTCCTAGGTTTCGAGGAGACTGGTCTGTGGGTGCCGTGTTGTAGGGACTGGTGTTGTGGGTTGGTCTCGAGGTTCAAAGTCCGTGATCGGGTGGGTTGTGGGTCTGTGTGTTATGGTGGTTGTGGTCTCTTAGGTTAAAAGTCGGTGCTGTGGGTGTGGTTGTAGTGTATCGGGTGGTCTATGGGTTCTGAGGTAAAGTCGTGGCTGTGTGGTCTGTAGGGTCTCCGTGGTTATGGGGTGGTTCGTAGGTAACAGGGTGTGGCTGTGGGTCTCTGTAGTGTATAGGGGTGGTCTGTGGGTTTGTGTTTCAGAGGTGAATGGTCGTGCTTGTGGGTGGGTCTGTGGGTACTGTGTGGTTAAAGGTGGTTGTGGTTCCTGAGGTAAGTGTGCTGTGGGTTGTAGTTAAGAGTGTCTGTGGCCTGGTCTGTATGGTGGTGGTCTCGAGGTATGTCGAGGAGTGGGTGTGGTCTCTGTAGTTATCAGGATGGGTTTGGTGGTGTTCGAGGTGGGTATGTCGGCTTTAGGTTTGGAGTGGTCTGTGGTATTGGGGTGTTCGTAGGTTAAGGAGTGGGCTGTGGTCGGTAGTTTGAGGAGTGTCTGTGGGTCTCTGGGTTGTGGTTTCGAGGTAGTGGGTCCGTGTCAGGGTGGTTGTGGTCTTGTGTTATCAGGAGGTCCTAATGACTTGTAGGCTTATCAAAGGGGATCAGTGGGTCCTGGTCTCCGTAGTATCAAGATGGTTACTAGGGGAGGATAAGGGTGTCTTGGACCTGTGTTCCTAGGTTCAGGGAGGTGCCCGTAACAAAGTGGTTTCTTAAGGTATGGAGGATAGGTTGTGCCTACATGTTACAGGAGGATGGTCCGGGCAACTGTTACAAGGAGGAGCTGTAGGCTGATAGGTTACTAAGGAGGGGTCGGGCCCCAACATCTGTTCTAGGATGAGGAAGTAGGCGTGCCTCTGTATTATCTTATATCTGTCCTTGACTTAGTTCATCTCCAGTAGACACTAGCAATGTGTGCGGTGGATTTCTGTGTGTTATGTGGTCGAGGTAAAGTCGTGCTGTGCGTGTTGTAGGACTGTTGTTATGGTGTGTTCTGAGGTAAAGTCGTGCTGTGCGGTGTTGTAGTGTACTGTGTGTTATGGTGTGTTCTGAGGTAAAGTCGTGCTGTGTGGTGTTGTAGTGTACTGTGTGTTATGGTGTGTTCTGAGGTAAAGTCGTGCTGTGCGGTGTTGTAGTGTACTGTGTGTTATGGTGTGTTCTGAGGTAAAGTCGTGCGGTGTTGTAGTGTACTGTGTGTTATGGTGTGTTCTGAGGTAAAGTCGTGCTGTGCGGTGTTGTAGTGTACTGTGTGTTATGGTGTGTTCTGAGGTAAAGTCGTGCTGTGTGGTGTTGTAGTGTACTGTGTGTTATGGTGGTGTTCTGAGGTAAAGTTGTGCTGTGTGGTGTTGTAGTGTACTGTGTGTTATGGTGTGTTCTGAGGTAAAGTCGTGCTGTGTGGTTGTATGTGTTGTGTCAGGAACTCCCTAAAAATACTATTAGCATTCCAAAAGGGCCGCAAACTCCACATGCAGGCACTAACAACTGCCCTAACAACTGTTACTAAGGAGGAGGATAAGGTGCCCCAACAACTGTTACTAAGGAGGAGGATAAGGTGCCCCAACAACTGTTACTAAGGAGGAGAATAAGGTGCCCTAACAGCTGTTTATACAGAGTTTATATCTGTAACAACCATATGATGACATGCCAGATCTTCTCCCATCAGTCCAATAGGAAAAATACAAAACTATTAAAGGGATACTTAGGGATTTTGGCAACGAAGCTAATAATCTACGTCTGTGAGTAGTTTGAAGGAAGTTGCTAAATAGCATAACGTGCAAGCGCTAACTAGCATTAGCGCAATGCCTGGAAGTCTATGGTAAGTGATAGCATGCTATTAGATACTATAGACTTCGTCACGAAACAACCTCTAACTTCCTTCATACTGGATGCAGAGACATAAACATGGTATCCACGAGTTCATCTGACTCTGAGTGAAGTAGATAAAGTGATACTTTGGTCTCTCATTACCACATTGTGAAGTGTTACAGGGTTTCATTGCCAGACACTGCACAATCACAAGCAGACAGAATGTGCATCCCAAATGAAACCCTATAATGTGACCTACTACCCTACAGGCCCTCGTCAAAAGTAGTGCACTATATAGGGAACAAGTTGCCATTTGGGACACAAAAACAGATAAATGTTTCCAATTAAAAACAGACGGGGAAAATATTTTGGGTTAAAATTAGGTCTGACCCCATTTAGACGACTGGTTGATTGCTGGTCGGGAAAAAAAAAATTTGGGGGGGGCATACGAGACGGATTCGCGCCCCTTCTCAGTGGACTAATCCATTGCGGAGGCCGCGGGGATGGCACAGTCCATCACTCTAAGACAGGCATCGGCAATGTAAGGCTACGAGAGTGTTTGCCTTGGCACGCCAAGCAATTTTATAAAAATGGAGAAAGTGAAATTGCATTGGTTTCCCATAAATTGCCACTGCTTCGGACATGACACAGTTTGTGTGTTCCTTAGGTCAGTGTGAAGGTAATGTGTCTTGGGTTAAAATTAAAATGTTGAGTCAAGAAGGGGAGAGTGGTTTAGATGCACAAGGCGTGTCCCTCTCTTCAGAATGTGCTCCCTCACGCCAATTCGTGAACATTTGTTTGTAAAAAAAGAAAACTGAAGCACTAAGCACAGGCAAAATCCCAAAGGAAATCCTGGTTCCGTTCGCTTTCCACCAGACACTGGGAGATGAATTCACGTTTCAGCAGGACAATACCCTAAAACACAAGGCCAAATCTACTCTGGAGTTGCTTACCAAGACAGTGAATGTTCCTGATTGCCCGTTTTACAGTTTTGACTTAAATCTGCTTGAAAACCTATGGCAAGATCTGAAAGTGGTTGTCTAGCAATGATCAACAACCAATTTGACAGAGCTTGAAGAACTTTGAAAAGAATAAAATGGGCAAATGTTGCACAATCCAGGTGTGGAAAGCTCTTAGAGACTTACCCAGAAAGACTCACAGCTGCAATGGCTGACAAAGTTGATTCTAACATGTATTGACTTCGTGGGTGGAATATTTATCTAAAATCAAGAGTATTTTTTTTCATGTTTTTTTTCAACTGTTAGATTCCTTCCGACGTTTTTTTTTTTGGTAGATAGTTGACAAAAAATGACAATGATACATTTTAATCCCACTTTGTAACAAAATGTGGAAAAAGGGGTGTGAATACTTTCTGAAGGCAGTAGAACTTCTAAATCTGCAACCATAACTTCAAATGACTTTTCAAAGGACCAAAGAGCCTAGAGGAAAAGTCTGATTGTCAACGAACGCTAATTCCTCTTGATGACCGAATTGCGCATTGCAAATATTCAAAGTCTGAACTATTTAAATACCTGGTTGACATATCCATTCTTGCATTGGCATTTACTGGTAGATATAATAACTTCTAAAATCTTTCATACCGCTGCACGCAACAACCAGCTATTTGAGAGCTAGGCTACGTGTGTGCAGCGCTCTCTCTCTCTGCAGGACAGATTATCTATAGCTATCCATATCTACGCTTATCAAAAATATAAAATGCAACATGTAAAGTGTTTCATGAGCTGAAATTAGTTTCATTAGCGCAAAAAGCTTATTTCTCTCAAATTTTGTGGACAAATTTGTTTACATCCTTGTTAGTGGGCATTTCTCCTTTGCCAAGAAAATCCATCCACCTGACAGGTGTGGCATATCAAGAAGCTGATTAAACAGCATGATCATTACACAGGTGCACCTTGTGCTGGGGACACTAAAAGGCCACTCTAAAATGTGCAGTTTTGTCACACAACACCAGATGTCTCAACCGTAGACCACGTGTAACCATGCCAGCCCAGGACCTCCACATCCGGCTT